AGTATAAAATGTACAATCCACCATATTCCTCACTTAGGTAGTGAACAGAAGTAGGTAGGTATCAATAGAATAATGGGATTATACTAACCGTTTTAGGGAGTGCTCTCATTGTACAAAAATATGTTAGATAGAAAACGAAAAATTTTCATGGTTAAAATTAAAGAAAACACAATTCTTATTTTAAATAAAAATAAATGACATCAAGAACTTGTGCTATGTATTAAAAACATTAATTGTAAATAAATAAATTATGTAAATAAACCGTAAAAGCACAAAAATCTTTTTTTAACACAAATTATATTTCACTAAATTTTCAGTAAAGAGATATCGATTCCTTATTTAATTATACTTACATCACAAAATGTTAAAGAAAATTCTTTACTTTCGTTTTTATGCGGCATATTTTGCCCGTTTTTTAAGACATATTAATGCATATGTTGTGACTTTAGTCTAATCTGCCTGTCCCTAATCTAATAAATAAGTTTTCTAAAAAAATATATAATAAATTTTGAGAAAACGTATTTAAAATCATTTTCCTTTGTATTTAGTAGTAACAAAAGCGAGCTCACGAAAGTGTAAAAAATTCAATGTGTTATTTATATTTATTTTTACTTTTCCAACAGCACTAACAAGTATTTAAAACAACAAGTAATAATTTGTTTGTATTATTTAGGTATTCATTATAATAATCCCATTTATTTATCATAAACTTCCAAACGTTGTAAATTATCTTAATGCTTACTATGAGATTCTTACAAATTTTTTTCGTCGTCCTTTATCGAGTGGTAGATTTAAGAACAGTTTTGTTACTGTTATGGGGGTTGCCTATGCGCGCGATTGGGGTCCAAGCTATTTTACGGCGTTTGACGGCCAAATATTGTTATTCGCCAGCCTTTGGCCTGTTCGCTTCAAACAATAGAATGGGTCTATCTGTATGTACTTAATCAATAATCAATGACTCTTCACAATAACACTGATCCTTCCAAGATTTCGAAAACCTTCCCAGTATCCTCCCACACAACCCATTTTCACCGTTTTCTACCGAGTCGTCTTTTCAAATTAAAATTAAAAACTCTGCCACTCTTCCATCGTCAGCTTCACTGACAACATCGAAATAAATTCCCCACAAGCACGGGTGCTGTTTTACTCACCTGATCACCCACAGTTTAATGAATTGAACAGTGAAATAACTTCAGTTTAAAATGCTTTTAAACTAACGTTTGCAATCCATTTTAGTATTACAAATAGTTATTAGAAATCAAAAAATGTCGGTTTAACTTGCCCTGAAGAAGTGTTTTTGTTATTCGTCTTGTATACTAATATTAAGTGAAATAACTTACATAATAATTATATGCATTTCTTGTACATTCATTGGAAGAAGTCTTTTCTAATTGTAAAAAATTATAAATAAAAAATGAACAAAACGTTAATCATCTTTTTCATTCTTGCGTATAGACAGATAATAATCAGCTGATATAGATTAACCTGTGCGTACTCACATATCACCACTTAACGTTAGATAGAATTATTTAATCAATATTGTTATCTCTTTTTAAATGAAGTGCCAACATGTATCTGCTATTTATACTTCATAAAGGAAACAGTGCGTTTAACGAATAAGTACCGTTCAAGTGTCGCTTAGTAGTATTTAGAAGAATAAGCGTGTCCATTGTTGTCACATTGGGCTGTTTGAAATTTTGTATCCAAATTTTGATGTAAGTACATAACTATATTCTATAATGATTGTGTGTTGAAATACGTCAACTAGTGCTTGTGACGTATTTACTTTTTTATTTTTAATACATTCCCACTCTTTATTATCCGTACCCACATCAACGTTATATATTTTCATATTTGAGATATCAAAAAGAAACCTAGATAAAAAAAAAACTCTTTAGGTTACGGAAAACTTTGAACAAGTTGTGAATACATAATTACGTTTTAATATTAATTGGTGACAAAGGGTACTACAACTTCGACACCGTTCTTGTCTGATAAATGTAATGTGCTTAACATGTTAATAAATAACAACTTTGTTGTTTATGCATTAAACTACCAAAAAATATTCGTTAATAACCGGTTCGATGATTATTGTCCTCATGGGAATGGAAAAAAAAACGAAAATCCTGTATGCTATTTTATAAGTAAACGTAATGCCTAGCAGCTTACACACCTAGAATTATTATATTTTATCATGTTTATTACGCAGGACTAGAACACAATGTATCCAGTTAATGTTACTACTTTGGTACTCAAAAAGGATAAATGATTAAAGTCGGTATTTGTTTTGTTATTACTTATTGTTATATCCTCCTACTTACATGAAAAACAGTTTACTTCGGACGTAAATTATTTTTACTTATGGATTTATTGCCCATATCTTGGAGGTTTATGCCAACTGATAAATTTTTGTTGTGTAATTTTTTCGACATTAACAGTAGAAAATTTGTTTTCTGTTTGTTTACTTCATTGCAAAAAAATGAAAAAAGTGCTGCTATTTTGTTGAAGTTCAAAATCTAATAGTAGATTGCTAAAAGAGTATTACAATTACTACTTACCCTTTTATAATTTTTTCTTTAATTTCCAAACTGGAAAGTAACTTTTTTGTTATTTTTTGTATTAAAATGCAACATAATGTAATTGTTCAAATTAATGAATGCACGACCCAGACGCCTGCTTCTATTCTCTATCATCAATTTAAAATTTCTTAAAGTGCAAGGTTCAATGAACAAATAGAAAAAATCGAGCTAAAATTAAGTTACTAGACATAGATCATAGAAAGAAAAAAGTCACTGATAACAGACGAGTTTGACAATGGATACTCATACAAGGAGGTACCTGACTGATTTATGTTATCACTTTTAAGCTAGTACGTGCGTGCCATCGTGAATAAGAATCGATGTTCTTGCAAAAATTATAAGGAGGAAAAATTAACATAAAAAAATGGTGTAAATCTTGAGGTAAAACTACGTTTACATAAATAAAAATCCAATATAAACTAGAATTCGAAGTTTTTATCTAATCAAATGAGATGCTACGTTACACAAATTATAGACCACTCATCTAGAATACGAAAAAGTAGGCCTAGTTCCGCCTGTCTGTCATCTACCGTCTATTGGCGAGGGTGTGTATGGTAAAATGCAATCCAAAATTTTCCCAAGTAAATCGTGTTTAAAATGTACAAAATGGTACCCTTCCGTGCTGATTTATTGATCTACCTATATTTTTAATTACATGCATGTAGGTTGTAGGAAGAAATGCGAAGTTGGTCGACAATATTTTACTTAAGTTGCAAATTAATTTAAATTTATTTGTGCTTGAATAATGCACCCACGGTTTTTAGAATTGTTGATATAGGCACACATTGTTGTTATTACTATATTTTTAATTTGCTTATTTTAATTAGTTCTCTTTAATATGGTGCAGCGGTTAAAGCAAAAATGTTGTTATACAGGTAATAAGACACTTTAGGGATGCGAATAATTTTCGTCACTGTACTTCACAATTTCACCAAGGTAATAGTAATTCTTTACTGTTGTTATACCTAAACTGTCCCCTTAAAGAAAAACAATATTTTATTTAGAAACATACTTTTAGAATTCTACTTCAGGAAGCATCATGCATGGAGTAAAGTTTTATTTTATAGAAAATCTACCAAAATGGATTGATACCGTAGGAATAATTAAGAGATTTTTTTGAGTGATTTTACCGCTTCCTAAAACCGGTTACAAAATGGGCAGCAAATCGGAATTTCCAAACAGTGTTCACTTTGTTATATCGAAAGGAACTGATGAAAAAGTGTAAAAAAGTGAAGCGGTTTCGTTGGAACAAAATTGATTGTTCTAAAATAAAAATAATAATACATACCTACTTAAATAGAGTAAAGTAGAAAGTGTAACTTTAGCCTTCTAATTTTTAAGTTGTCATAAATGAAAATCGTACAAAAGAGGCCTTTAGTACACAAACGCAACTCGACTTATTCTAATTGTACTGTATTCTAAAATGATGTATCAATAAAAATTCCAAGCTCAGTTGTTTATAAAACAAAACAAAAATCATTACAGGATTGCGCACCGTAATGATCTCAACTCGCCGAATCATTATTTCATGATATGGTCATACTGCTCACAAACAGCACATAATCAAAATTACAAATGCATGTCATTGTTATTTTATTTTCCGCAATCATTTTCAGTGTGACTGATAACGACTTGCGTAGACGATACGGCTGTCATGGGCCAGGATTTCACTACTTAAGCCTGTGACACAGTCCACAACCATCATTAACGTGTTGAATGTCGTTAAGCTCGAACCAGTATTACTTTTGAAACCTGTAAATTTATGTAAACATATTTATTTATTTTTATCACAGTAGTTGTCGCAAAAATGCAACAATTATATAAATATATTACGTGCATATTCATGTCGGTAAGTAGTTTTTCATTATCTGGATTTTTGGTCAAGGTTATGATTCTTTTTTCAATTACATAGGTAGTAGAATTTGATTTTTTAATTAATGGCCATTTTCATTGGCACAGTCTAAGGTTGAATACCTTGGAAATTTACAGGTACTTATTGTTAACGATGAACTTGCATATTCAAAAATGGAAAAATTAACACACTTACATTTCTTTAATGAGTAAACTTTATTAGAACTCGATGGTGATTATTGGAAAATCACGTCTTATACAACCAGTTATACACACAACATGAACATCAATCATAATTGCGACATAGATTATTATTACGCGCATTTTTTGTTTTTGTGTGATTGTGTTTAATACTCGCCCCTTTATCATACACTAACTCACATTCTTTCCAAAAACAATGACCCTGCAAAACGGAATAGTGTTATCACGAACTTAGTGGTACAAAGGTCAACTTTATAATAGATTCTTACATGTGACTCCATTTGCCAATCATCCACTCTAATCATTAAAAAAACGGTTTTATCATCGACGAATTTTGTGAATTTTTTATCCCAGTACCCTTCATTACAGATCCTAAAAATGGACGAAGCGGAAGCAAGTCTTGGAACTCAACAAATCCCCGAAGCATCGGAGTCCCTCTTCAGCACCGTAGACATAATTTTATTAACGTTGCTATTGGGAGGAATAGCTTGGTGGTACCTCAACAAACAGAAGAAAAAGGATGTGACGCCTCAGCGCTCCTATTCCATCCAGTAAGTACAAAAAACTCTGACGTGCGTCTTTGTATTAATGTTTACGTCACAGACCCACGTCAATGAGCCTCCAAACCAGCTCAGACAACTCCTTTATCAAAAAACTGAAAGCGTCTGGCAGAAGTCTGGTGGTGTTCTATGGCAGCCAAACCGGAACCGCGGAAGAATTCGCCGGAAGATTGGCGAAAGAAGGTGTGAGGTACCACTTGAAAGGTATGGTGGCGGACCCCGAGGAGTGCGATATGGAAGAACTGGTGAATTTGAAGTCCATTCCGAATTCTTTGGCCGTTTTCTGTTTGGCTACTTACGGCGAAGGGGATCCGACTGATAACGCGATGGAGTTTTATGAGTGGCTACAAAATGGTGATGCGGATTTATCAGGCTTGAATTATGCTGTAAGTGACCTTGGCCTGCAGACACGTGTGATGATTGTCTAAATTGATAATAATTGCAGGTATTCGGGCTAGGGAACAAAACGTATGAGCACTACAATCAAGTCGCAATTTATGTAGACAAACGTTTGGAGGAATTGGGGGCCACGAGGGTGTTCGATATGGGGCTAGGGGACGATGACGCCAAGTAAGTTCAGTTGTAGACGTGTTAATGCCACTTGTTGATGCGAATTCGTAACGTAAAGTTGTAGACGTATTAATGCCACTTGTTGATTCGAATTCGTAACGCAAAGTCGTTATGTGGTTTTGATGCAGTTGTTAGAACTACTTTTTTTGGGTTAAAGATTTTTGAGAATTAATTTTAATTTTTAATCAGCTACATTGGTATAGGTAGATCGTATTGGCGGCATTACTGTCACGTGTCATTTAATACCGAAGTTAAGTTTTTTGTTATTTTTAAGTGTATAACATGCACATTACTTTTACTTATGAACAGAAATAAGATATTTAAGAAAAAAAATCTGTAATGAAAACTCAGTAGTAGAATACAATTTTCGTTTGACTCTTATCTTCCGCAATCCAATTTTTTTTATATCTTTTGATCTTTTGCGTTATGTATGCCACATGTCACGACATTGGTGTGTAATTTATTTTTATCAGTGTTTTTTTTACTGTTTGAGTACTTGTCACATGAAATAACGATTGTGACTTTTAATACTTTTCAAAACTAAGAAATTGTTTTACTGTATGCATTTTTTGCTATTCTGAAATAACATTATTCTAAACATTGTCATAAATTTATACGAAAAAACAAAACACTAAGGTTAAACAATGCTGGAGTCACAAAATAGCCAATCTATTGTGACGTTTTATTCAGGTGCTCTCAAATTATTTACACTCTACTAATTCTAACTCGTCGTCGCGACCTATTGTGTTATCTATTAGTACTAGTACGTTAGAGTCGCACTAAAAATGTAAAATTTATTTATTTACTTTGTCCAATACGTTGTTAGGTGCATGTCTTTTATTCATAAACATTGGGAAGTTGCCACACCTTGAAAAGTAATAATATATGTAGTAACTTTAGAAAACCTCGAATATGCCAGGACGTTTAAGTAATGATGCAGAGAAAGAAAAATTCTCATAATTAATAGCTAATTGTAGAAAATAACTATTGCTACAAGCAGTCGGAAGGACACAATCCATAGTAACAATAAATCAACATAGGAATCGTAAAGTTTACATTAAATTACTACAAATTTCTTGACACACTATGGACTGGAACTAAGGTTGAAACAAATTAATGCATCATCAGATCATCAGGTGAACCTTGTTTATCTCAAATCACACATTTGTGGTAAAAAATGTAAACATGACGGACAAATCTTTATCTGAAATTAAATAAATATTGTTGGTAATAGTAGTTGTATTGTAAATACATACATGCAAATCTTTGAGTAAACTGTATTAGAAGTGGTTGCATAACATGAGGATCAATTATTATAATTAATCAACCTGCACTTTGAATGACATGGGTGTTGGAAGTGACATCGAAAGAAAAAAATTGATAAACAAGTTTACAGAGTCAAGTTTTTTTAAATTCCGTTAGGATTACACCTAAACTTGATTTTCCATAGTTCTTATATTAGAGTGGAAATACCATGAGAAGAACATTTAAGTCGTCGCAGTCTGTCACTACTTACGCTACAGTGGCGACTCATTTACGTTCAAATTGGAGGTGTCCTACAAAATATTGTTTCATATATATATATATTTTTAAATCTGTTAGAATTATTATTCTTGTTTGAAATTATTAGCGTGACCGCTGCTGAGACGTTTTATTAGTGTGTTGTTCTCAAAGTATTTCAACTGTACTGTTTAATAATGTGATTAGAATAACCCAACAGAATTTTAATTAGTGATTAATAGAGCACCAACACTGCTTCGTAATTGAAAAATACAGCATTATTTTTGTTTTGTCTAGTATATTTCCATTTAACGCGGAAGTTTTACAGTCCTCGAAAAGAGAGGATTTTTTTTGTCTACCCTAGTATGTTTCCATTTAACGCGGAAATTTTACAAATGCTTTTGTTTTGTTAACATAAAGTAACAGGTGCTTGTATTTTTAACTTGTTAAAATTTCAGTACCGAATGACGTGACTGGCAAAGTCGATTGTGAAAGACGTATTTACCCACACTCGAATTGCAAAATACAAAAAATTAATTTACAATTATAATATAACCTCCGATTGTTCATATGTCAAAATATTTACAAGTCATGAATAGTGAACTTGAAAACGTAAAATTACTGGTAGCTGTGTGAAAATCTGTAATTTAAGGGGACTCGATAGAGAAGGAAAAAATCCTTTTTTCATGTTTTAAGCCCCTGAAAACAGTTCAATCAACCAAAAAAATTTGACAGAAATATCGGAAAACAGCACCATTGTCTTCTGATATATTTTTTTTTGTCTCAAACATTATAGAATCGCTTGAAAATCCTTATAATGACAAAGTAACGTATTTGAAATCCCTTCGTTAAAATCAAAATATAGCATAAAGTTATGCTATTGTATCGATTATTAGGTTAGAAACTGGTCGATTTGGAGGTTTATGGTGGATTGAAAATGTCCTACTATTTTACTATTATTACAAATTCATTGTAATATTTTTAATGTATATTTTGCGTTGTTAGTAATAAAACTACATAGCCATTGTTTAACACGTATCAACAGCTAAAATTACTATTGATGCCAGAAAGGAAGTGTGCAAAGCCATATGTCCAATAACTTCAAGTTTCGATGTCCGAATTATCTGAAATATTTAAACCATAATCGCAATCAGGACAAACGTACGTAGGATTTATTTTTTTTACGAATACTCTGTCTAAAACAAGTTTGTTATAGACGAACAGGATTTTTTATTATTAAAATTTTGATGAACAATTTACCATATTGCTGATCAACTTAAAACATTTATAAGATTTCAAAACATTTGATTTTGCAATTTCAAAGTTAAATCGTAAAATATTCCTAGCCAGTTTTTATTTTTTTTTCCAAAAATATGAATGTCAAGGGTAAAAACTGAACACCAACTCCTTAGGCACAACTGCAGGAGTATGAATATTGTTATACGATTTAAGTCTTTTTGCAAAAATCTAGGTATCTTAAGATAAGAACTCAAGACGGATTGATAAACCACAAGTGCAGATGTATGTTATTTTATAAATTTTAAATAACATTTATTCGGAAATATTTTGCGATAAGTCATTAGTTTATTGGGAGGGTATAAACGCATAAATTTTGATTAACCTTTTACCATGCTTACGATAATCTTAAAACGTTTTCAAGAATTTAGAGCATTCGGTTTTGCGGTCAGTAGTTATATGGAAAAGAATTAATATGTAATAAATTATTAATATGAAGTCAGTGAAGAAAAACATGAAAATTAAAAAATAGCGTAAAAAAATCAATAAAATAACTGGGAACATGTTTAGTCATTTGAACAGACAAACGTTAAGTTTCGTTCTGTAGCATTGCTTTCTGGATTAGGTTAATTTATTAATAAAAAATACTACTTCCGACGATCTCAAATCTACCCGTAATAAACTTATTAAATAAAGGTTCACAGGTTTCTTTAGCAGATAGTTTATTAGTGAAGGTTCTAATAAGTTGCGTAGACACAAATAAGAAAAATAAAAGAATTTCTGCCAATAAAAAGTGTGTTTACCTACCAAAGGAAGAAACCACCTTAGTCTTCAATTGTTCTGACGATGCCAACCTGATTCGTCCTTGAACAAATCAAAATATCAACAAGTGGTATTAACGTCACTCTAATATTCCTTCACGATTTGTTACTAACTTAAATCTAGTATTGAAGATGACTTCATCACCTGGAAGGACAAATTCTGGCCAGCCGTGTGCGAGCACTACGGCATCGAATCCACCGGCGAAGACGTCACCATGCGCCAATATCGCCTCCAAGAATTCAAAGACGAGACCCCCGACAAACTCTACACCGGCGAAATGGCCCGACTACACTCCCTCAAAAACCAGCGGCCGCCCTTCGACGCCAAAAACCCCTTCTTGTCCAAGATCCGCATCAACCGCGAACTCCACAAGGGCACCGAGAGGTCGTGTATGCACATCGAATTCGACATCGAAGGCTCGAAAATGCGCTACGACTCCGGCGACCACTTGGCCGTCTACCCCATCAACGACAAGGAGTTGGTAGACAAGATCGGGAAGTTCACCGACTCCGATCTCGACACGATCTTCACTCTCATCAACACTGACGAAGAATCGAGTAAGAAACATCCGTTCCCGTGTCCGACGACCTACAGGACTGCCCTCACGCACTACTTGGATATCACGATGAATCCCAGGACGCACGTGCTGAAGGAGTTGTCGGAGTACTGTGGAGATGCTGCGGAAAAAGAGAAGATGAAGCTCATGGCAAGTACTTCTCCAGAGGGTAAAGCGCTATACCAGCAGTGGATCATTGCGGATAATCGCAACATTGTCCACGTCCTGGAGGACATGCCGTCGTGTAAACCTCCACTGGACCACCTTTGTGAACTCCTACCCAGGCTGCAACCTCGCTACTATTCCATTTCTTCTTCGCCGAAACTTTACCCTAACACTGTGCACATAACCGCCGTCGTGGTGGAGTACACCACCCCCACTGGACGCCACAACAAGGGGGTGGCCACCACTTGGTTAGCCGCCAAAAAACCCACACCCGACGAAGAACCCCCAACTGCGCCTATTTTTATTCGCAAGTCGCAATTCAGGTTACCTACGAAATCACAAACTCCTATTATTATGGTGGGACCTGGTACAGGCTTGGCTCCTTTCCGTGGGTTCATACAAGAGCGAAGCCACGGCAAAGAAGAAGGCAAAGTCGTCGGGGAAACAGTTCTTTATTTCGGCTGTCGCAAGAGATGCGAAGATTTTATCTACGAGGAAGAGCTCGTGGAATATGAAAAGAACGGTCTGTTGACGCTGCATTTGGCGTTTTCGAGGGACCAAGCGCACAAGGTTTATGTCCAGCATCTCCTGGAGAAGAATGCGGAGGAGTTGTGGAGAATTATTGGAGAGAATAATGGGCATTTATATATTTGCGGGTATGTAGCAACTATTAACGCTGTAAGGCGTGTAAATGGAAATGCTTATACATCAAGTGATTTTATTTTTCTTCTATTACCGACATCAAATACAAAATAATTCGTTCTTGTAACAAAAATGATTTAGACATGATTGGTAAACTTGGCAGAGTTCATTAGTTGCAAGATTTTCGTTCAATGTCTAATAATTGAGGCGCCAAAGGACTCGTTTACCCTACTTTATCAGTGCCTTAAAATTTACAGAACAGACTCCTTTGATATCTTGTTGGGATATAAGGTTTGACACAAAACTAGACGAAAATGTATGTTTATTCCCTCCAGAAATTTGATAACGTCATGTCCAAAAGTCCGTAAATATAAAAAATGACCTGGGATTCAATGTTCGTACACTAGCATACGCCCAGGAAGTAAATAAATCAACAATTAAGCAGTTTCTTTATTAATTAAATTAAAAACACATTTTTATTATTAGTGTTACCCTGTACGTATTAAAATTTATATATTTGTCCCCATAAGGAAATGACAACATTGTTACAAAAATTTGCAGCATAATTTACTGATTTGGCGGTTCGTTAGTATTCCAACTTCTATTTTATTTTAACATCCAGGGGTTATCCTAAAGTACAAAATTTACGATTTATCTAAGAACTACACGATAAGCAGGAAATTAATGGAAAAATTAGACCAACGTACACGGAGTACCGCTGGATTCATTAACTTTCTGGACACTTTTTAACAGTCACTTGTATAAACAGCCGTGGGGAACGAAAAAATTAGTTTGAAGACAGATTATAAGCATGATTATTCTCTTATAGAATGTCCAGTCTTTTAGAACATTAACAAAACAGCTTTTGTTAATAGTTTAGTCGGGAAGTCGGTAGTAGAAGTGATTGTTTGATTTAGAAGTGTTAATTTGATGGTTTTTGTTACAGTGACGCAAAATCCATGGCGCCGGATGTGCGCAACGTCGTTATGAAAATCATCCAAGACAAGGGACAAATGAACGAACAGCAAGCGTCTGCCTATTTAAAGAAGATGGAGACGCAGAAACGCTACTCAGCTGATGTATGGAGTTAATAGACAAGTGCTTTAGGTGTAATTACTTTAACATTAATTTAACGAATTACTCTGGTGCCTACACATGTGCATTTTTGTTTTGACATTCCCGCGTTCTAGAAAGGATGGGTGCAATTTATTGTTATTTACTGCAAATCAAAATATATTTATAATAAAATGGTATAATTTTTGAAAAGTTGTGTTTGGGTACTTAATAACCTAATGTGGATAGTTAATGTACATGTTATATTTAAAGTCAAAAACGGTACAAGAGTTTATATACACAACGTTGCTTCATAAATACAAAATGTCCTTAGACGCAAGAGAGAACGTAAAAATGTGTTGTTATTCCTAAAATTAAACAATAACATACTTGATCATATCGTAATTGTAGGATAACCCCAGGTTCAAATAAAAATAAACACAAAATACAACACCCAACCCGTCTGGTAAAATAATTAAAAGTAGGAACATTTGTACAAAAGAATAACTGCAATGATCATCCTACAGTCACCTAATTGCTCCCAAAATATGCACAAAAGCTAGATTAATATTCTCAAAAAATGCAGTTTTTTTTGTCTGTACACCAAAACTGCATTTTTCGGTATCAATCTAGCTGTTTAGATTAACATTACTACCTCCTAGAAGATAATATAATATACTATAATAATTATTGAGCACAATCAACGATTAATGGTATTGAAAATATAGCAGTCTAAATATATTAACTATATTAAACAAATCACAATAAAAACTAACTGTTCTCCAACAACATCATTCATAAAAAAAACACGCTAGATCCAAAAAAACAACTAACTGCACTACAAAATTCACAATAACGAAAGCTTGATTTACACAATCAAGTGACTATATAACAAAAATTACACTACGCGTTATGCCACGCTCACACCTGCCGCTTCTTCTCCACAATTCAACCATTCAGCATATCCATGCTTTACTAACTCCTGGTTTAAAAATACTACACGCTGCAAAACAACACATTAGTTAAGACAACACAAAAACATCACGAACTCACTTTTGGGCCTAAAATTAAATAGCAATTAACCAAAGGTACACCATCGTCGGTGTAATCGACTATTTGTGTATAAATAATGGCGGTTTTCGTCATTTCTGCTACGGCGCTGTATGCTTCGTCGTGCCATCCTGAATCTACAACAACTAAAGAAGTAACACAATTCGATACACCGCATTTCTGTATTCACTAATAAAATTTTATTGGCACTGTACAAGTAGCAGGTAGAATCCCGTCCCAGGGATAATTTTTACCCCTCATAAAATTTTACCGAATACAAAAATAAAATACAAATTTTACCTCCAATTGGTTTAACATTGGCTAAGAAACATTCGGCAGCTTGGAACGGCAACAACATGAAGTCCCCTCGGATCTGCCTCAAGTTCGTATTCTCTATATACACATAACCTCCATAATCTAAAAATTTGACGTAACTCGTTCCGCTAGTTTGATCCTGCGATAAAATGACAGCTCGGTACCAGCTGTCTCCAGAAAACGCCACACAAATCGTGTTTTCTAAAAAATATATTAAGTTTGCCACACGAGCTGAAGACGAACGCTGCGATTACCTGGAATAGGTGTTGGCAACATAGGGGAATTCGCTTGGGCATAGCAAACGTTCATACAACCGTTAAGTATGTTAAGATTCGGGAACGACGGATGAGTGGGCTGCTGCAAGAAGAGATGATTCGGCGCAACGATACAACTAACGATTGTATCGTTATTAATACCTTCGATTAACTTCAACTGAAAACACTCGATTAGTACGGGAATTTAAATTTTTACGAATGTATTACGTATAAGTGATCTGGAACTAGTGAAACAGCTGGAATCTGAGGTAGAAATGAAACTTGTTCTAGTGTAACTTCTGGAAAACGTTTTTGTGGAAATTTATCCCTGATAAGTTTGAGTGCGCTGTCGATCTCGTTTTGCGAACCCTCGATTGTACAGACTTTTAATTTGTTGTTTGTGGGGTGCTTTCGCACTACGACGTGGGCGCCGGTTTTGTCTTTGATGTTGGCCACGGAGCTGCCGTGTTTTCCGATTAGTTTGCCGACTAGCTGTTGTGGTATCACGAATTCGTAGATGGTTATGACGTTGGTATTCTCGGGAACCAATGAGCGTGAAGGGGGAGGGGTCACGACATCACTTCCACCTTTACCGCTGTCATTTGATCCCTAAACAAACAAACAAAAATGTAGCACATGGAAATTTATCATATCATATTTAGAATCTCTATGAAGAATCGAGTCGAGTTTTTAATATTTCCCGCTCTCTTAAAAACAAGATAAAAGCAATTATAAAAAGATATTAAAAAAAAAAAAAAACTGAGATATGCATATGTAATAACATATTCTGAAACAAAGAAACATCCTTGGTATGTAAAAGACCTTTGACAATGCAATTAGAAAAGAATTTACTCATTACTTATAATACTAATGTTAAAAATGATAAGGCCACTGCTGGGTCCGAAAATTCTTACACAACACCCAATATTCGACACTTATTTAAAAATTAAAAGAGTACTAAGTGTACCAAAAAAAAAAAAAAAAACACTCAAAACTATATACACCACTGGTCGAAATGTCAATAACAAATTATGATGATTCATATGTTCTTCTCATAGTATGTCTATCCTAATTTGAATAATACAATAATTATCTTTCATCCAAATATTAAATATGAAAATACATTATGTCCATTTTGGACTAAAGCTTGTTGCAATTAAAAATAAATTTTTACGTTACTCTTTAAGAACACTGACTTAAGTAATGCTGACATTTTGTATTAAAAAAATAATAATAAGAAACTCGTTAACATTTAAGTCCCGAAAATAACTTGCCAACGCTGCAAATTTGTACTGAGGCTACGCTGATTTAGAATGGAATTTGCAACATTATGTCCTTAAAGTCCGCTTGCGTCGATTTTAGTCATACAGTGACCTTTCAGAAATTAGGCTCATTATTGTATTTTTTGCTGCATTCTTAAATTTACAAAAATCGGTCTTATCGCAACGACTTCGGAATGTTTTTAAATTAGCAAACTCTTAATTTATTTTGTTTTGGTTGCCACGGAATTACACTAGAACCGATTCAGTTTATTGTTTTTTTACAGTATATTTAGGTTATTCTAAATTCCGTTTCACGTAACGTAACTTCCTTTATTTTGACAACAGGTAATTATGAAAATTATCTACACGATTAGTCAGTATTACACAACAAGTTTACTACAAAAAATAAAATGAGAAAAGTATTAAAATTAATGCAGTTTATCTAACAGTTCTGGGTATTTTTTCTTGAAACATTTTTAACTACATAGTTACTGTAGTCAAATAACATTATTTTATAAATTTTAAATACATACCCTACACGGTTTACATATACCTATTTCTTGAAAGATTTTTATGTTAAAAAGCCAAGTTAAATTCATTGTTGACCATTTTACATGAGATAGGGAAAAAATGGTTCCAGAACGACAGTGAAAAACAATAGTTTGCCGTGAACTGAAGGGAAATAACGTAGATATGATAATGTCACTTATTCTAAGGTTAACTTATACAATTGGAGAAATTATTATTAAGTTTTCTCGTTATTTCCTTGACTTTGAAACAACTCACGAAACAGGTTTTGCTTTCCACAACTTCCTATGGCCTCAAAATTAATTGATCGTAAGGTATTCAACGTTAATTAAAACATTTTGAAAGCTATTGAAGAACGGTTAATTATTTGAAAGTACTAATACGGCGTGTAACATTTTAATTATTCATTGTTTACGATAATGGCAAATTCAGATGAAAACACTACCATTCCTATTATCAATTATTGCAAAAGGAAAATATTTTCAGTGTTTTTGGATATCGCTTTGGATATCACCTTTACAAGTCCATCTTAATGTTAATTAAAAACAGTTTACAATTTTAATTGTCTACAAAAATATTTTTTAATTATTTTGTCCAACATTAAAAAACAAAGAGTTGCAAAATTAAAAAAAAAACTTACAGTACAAGTTCGTTTTTCAATTTTACATGTTTAAAAAATTGAGCATTTCATCAGCACTTAAAAATGTATTTTTAACGAGTCCTTGAGTCGATTGTCACGGCGAACTAACTGCAGATAACAGAAATATATAGAGTAAAGCTATAATTTCGGACCGTTTAAAAAACAATAGGTTGATAAACATTAAAACAATATAGTTTCGCTAGCCACGATAAATTTAAATTATGCATATATAATATACAATATATAAAGTGGATTTGTATGATTAGACTGCTTTTACACAACCCATAAAAATATTATATGTATTTGGCTCGAACAAGCAATTTGAAAATAATGGGATCACAGTTAATGACGTTCGTTATGACAGCTGCGATTTTGTGACTTTCTTTTTAAAATGACAAAAATTATTTGCCTATAATGACCATCAACTTAAATTATTAGATCAGGTAAAGGACCGTGACTGTCATACATTTTTAATTTGGAAGAACAAAATTATGGCGTAAAACTTCAGAAGGTACACTTTGCTTAAAAAACAAAGCTAATGAATTCGGAAAATAAAGTAATCAATAAAAACCGCATTCAATATTAGTTGAAAATGTATGGTAATATATTACCTTACCGACACGTGAATTGTCAACATTTGTCAAAGAATTGAAAAGCAATAATGTAAGTATCGGACGGCTGCGGCGATTATGGCACTCTTTACAGTAACCTCATTTGACATACACCTGTTAAAACTTTTATGACTTAAGGGGCTTAAGCCAAAGCACCCTTATAAGTCAAACTGGCTATTGTAAGCTTTGTGGATCCGAGCCGCAAGATTATTACTGTCCATTGTTGGCATAATGTAGCTGTGAACTGAGTTAAGTAATACAATAGCCAATTTGACTTATAAGGGTGGTTTGGCTTAAGCCGCTTAAGTCATAAAGGTTTTAACAGGTGTATGTCAAATGAGGTTACTTTACATCCTAGGTATGTTAATAGCTATTATAGCCCTGTCGTTTTACAGTCCTTTTCGAACCGCAGTTTTTCCAAGGAATTTGTTTGTACCTGCCTGCCAGACTGCCCGGCGTGGGGCGAACTTGGGTGCAGTAAACATCGGCTTTCCCCTGACAGGCTCTTTAGCTGAACAATAAAATTAACGACAGAGTTGTAAAACGAATTAACTTTGGGAGTCCATAAAATTCTTATAATTGTAGACAATCTTTTTCTAAGCTGCATATCCAAATGCATACTCCATACTAATAAATAATAATAACGATAATGAGCTACAGCAAATAAACGGATCAACATGTATACAATACACTAGCAAGTATGCACGAAATGAAGCCCTCACAAAGAACGACTCTTATTTCCATTGAAACTAATTGTCAAGAACTTACCTCACTCTGATTGTCCGAGATACTACTCAAGGACGGACTGGCAAGCATAACATCTGCTGGACTGTGGTTCGCCGAATCCCTCTCGCAATTCTGTCTTTGCACCTCGTTGTTCGCAGACGATCTTTCATCTTTACCATCTTCTACAACGGGGGCTTTTTCCTCAACCGGGGTTTGCGCCATCACTGGCGACAATTTCTTCGGGGAGCCTTTTTTAGTCGTCGTTTCACTGCAACTATTTGATTTTCGCATATCAATCGATCCGTTATATCTCATTGATTTGATTTTTTCAATTTCTATATCGAGATCCTCATCCGAAATAACTACCGGATTGGACTTGGTAGCTTTGAGCTTGTGCGGTATAACAATATCGATGGGGGCGGAATCAACACCTGAGAGCGAACGTGAAAATGTTCGAGGGGAACCAGAATCGACTGGTTTCGGGGGTGTTTCGACAGCTTTGACGATTTCACCTGGGTCAGTTTTTGAGGAAAGTCTCTTCCGTCTGTACCAGAAATAACCTAGTATGACGGCTATTGTGGGCACTGTCCAGATCAGCAACTGGCGTGAATGAGACGGGGCCATATCTTGATTGATCCACGATTGACCCCTTCACTAACCAAGCGGTCCTATAAGGGAAAATTGACGTACAGTCCGGGATTTGAGGCTTAAAAAACGATAGTATAATTTCCACCTTCCATGAAACTAATCTTTGTATTCAATACAGCGTTTTCTGCTTTATTATAGTACGAATTGCAAACACTGATATATATTTTATATTTTTAAACTGACTTAATGAATGTCTGCTTGCGTTTTGAAGATCAAGCAACACTACTACTATTACACGTTAGAAACATGTAGTGGCAAATTAGTATAAGTTTCGTTATGAACGTGTCAAAATTGAAGATAATTTCTTGTATGTACCGAGATACAGAGAAGACTCACCGGTTTGTGGCTACGAGTAAATTTCACATTTTCTCAGCATTGTATTAGATTTGATTATGTTAATTCATGAATTTCCTCGTTAGAGGAGCAGTCGTCAACACTATAAAAACAATTTTGCATAAACAATTCTACATTTCATGTTACGAGTTCCATTTTTTGTCAATACAGAAGGAGAACGAACAAGATTGGCAAATCACTTATGGGAATAATGACTAGCACCGGTTTCAGACCAGTTCCGGGTGACCGTAAAATGGAAAAATGCTGTGTATTCCGTAACTCTCCGAATTGCTTAAGTCTATTATTCCAGCTAATTCAAGATACAAATACCTCACAACAAAACAAATAAAAAATTTCGTCTTCGAATGCTTACGCTCTTTACAATATGAATCACATTTTTAACGCTAGTATATAATTTCCTTTTCCAAATAGGACATTATTTGGCCAATATTTACTTCCAAATACGTTTGCTTTATTTAAATTCGATTAAAAAAAATTAACTTTATTCTCCAAATTAGTTGTTGATCCACGCTTAGTGATCAGTAGGCAAAGATGAGGACCGTATTTTTGCTACTAATAAAAGGCCCTTCGTGTTTGTCGAAATATTTAATAGGGCGAATCCCGAAGCCCCAAATATTTGGGATTCGGCAAGTAACGAGTTTCCTTAAAAGAAAAACAGCCTAAACCTTCATCCTTAAAAGCATAAATTACAGATTCTCGATCCATGCTTACAAACGCTGAACGAGAGCGGACCTGCTCCACTCTATAGTGAAATTTAAATTTGAATTTTGAAGAGATATGAGTTACCGTCACAAACTGACAAGGGTCTTCATCAGAGAAATCACGAGCATTGTTCCCAAATGATACCAGTGAGCTATAAAATTTTATTAGTATACAAAAGTAGTGTGAGAGAAATATATATGCGTATCTCAGAACTCCGTTCGCCTTAGTCATAAACTGTCGCAAGCATTGACAAATTGCAGTTTCGGTCGCTACCACAATAGAGCAAACCATTCATTTGTTTTATTAATTGTAAATAATAAAGAAATAGGTTACCTTTAAAAGCTATTTCAGTCTTTCTTGTACATGTAAATGCAGTGCTTCGACATTTTTTTTTTTTAAGCTTTACGCATTGGATAAATCGCTATCTCATACAACCATACTAAAGTACACTATGGTTTTCTTGCTTCAACTCGTTTGCCCTATACTACAAGACAAGTATGTAGATCCTTAAGGTACGTGTCCAATGGAGAGCAACTCTCACGAAAGTTCTGATTTTAATTTTATACCATCCTTAATCTTAAGTTGTCATTTCAAATTTCAGAGGTCTATTATTGCAATGAATTCAGTTATTACGAAAAAAAATATACGTAAAACAGACTTATCGGAGATCACTGTCGCATTTCGAAATGCGTTCGTATTGTGGGAGTCGCTCAGAAACTCGGAAAAACCAGGTAAAAATGATACGCTTACCCAGTTGATTTCTCGCAAGCGCCCTCTCAAGTGGACACGGACCATTCAGTTAGTATAGTGCTGCAACTGCTGGTTCGTTTTTATGACTGCATCCTATTGTGAAGGAGTTAAGTGTTCCACAATAGACCTCTGCTGCAAGTAATCCAGCGGTTATAAACCATCAAGGGACCGTACTATCTACACTACACAGGGCCGTATGCGCCCATAAACCTTTAAGATGATTTATGGTACGGCTATTGACACTTGCAATAGAGTTCCTAATACTTGCGGAAATTGAGATTGCAGTGCCATAAAAACGAAGTCAGAGTTGGACCACTATACTTAAATAAGAGATATGCTGTGCCCAAACAGTGGAGAGTAATAAAAACTACAACCATCCTAATCACTTCAATGAGTGGCAGCACGCCGCGCCCCAGGCAGCATTCGGTCTAATTTGACGGCCACAGTACCTTTAGATTCAACGCTTACCTGCGTAAAGAAAGAGACAGCTTGTTCTTTAACAAAAGAAGGGTGGTAAAAGCCTACTTACTGGGTGATAATTGTTGATTTACAATCACCCCGGTTTATGGTTTAGGCGAATGGAGTTCTGAAATAGACAGAGCCGCCTTCACGATAATGGCAGCGGTTACCTGCGAGCAGTATTTGACTTTGAAGTGTTTTACAACAGTTAGGATTGGCAACCAATAAAAGCAGGTACGACCCTCGCCAGGTCCAAGCTGTCAGTCATGTTGCAAATATCAAGACCGAACTTGAGAACATGGCACCTGTTTTTATTAACTACATATACAGACTTAGTATAAAGTCCCGGAACGATTGAATAACTTTGTTATTTAAAAAGCTTTTTTTTGGAAAATTGGTGTGGATATATAGTTAAACATGGTGACTTGATTACAATATTTTTCCATTTTTCCCCTTTTGGTTTGACACAAGAAGGCCGCCTACATTTTTTTATGGAACACCCAGATTATTTTGACATTTTCCGATGCAGAAAAAAAAACAAATTTCAAAAATTATCAACATGTTTATTTCTACTGATACAAAAAATAGAAAAAAATCACAAAAAAACACCTAGACCCGATTTATAGAAAGCGAAGTTAAAGTTAATTCGCGATTAACTTTTAACTGAGGTCCGTTGCGAGGCAACGCGCATATTTTAACCAATCACGGGCTCATATTCCACATTTTAATTCTCTTGTAAGCGGAATTTTTTAGTGCAGGTCTTTAAGGCGACAAACCAATCAGTTTTAATAATTAACCCCCACTTAAGACACATATCTCAGATGCAGAGGGTGCATTTTGAGGGCAGTTACTCCGAGTTAGTCAGAGTCCGTGGGAGTGTGTAAAATAGCGGTAGGCGTGAAGGCCCAGCTGTGTGGTGACAGGGACGGACGCGGGTTGAGAGTTAAGAGCAAAGAGTTGGGTGTTAAGGTGTTGATAAGAGAAGGTGGCAGGTTAGGGTGAACCTGGGGCCACGAGAGTAGTGTGAACGCGTAAAATCTCCGGCAGATACCATGGTATGTACCTGAGCACTGAGGGCGTACTCAGGTGGGGCGCCTTTGGCTCATGACACGGCAGGTTGGCGAAAGTCGTGAAAGAGGTGTCCTGGCTGTTGACTGACCGGTGGTGGCGGTGGTGGCAACCGAATGCAACAGAGAATACGTTTGCTGGTTAGGTTGGGAGATTAACCCGGTTTTTGGAGGAAACATAGTGACGTATGGACGTGGAGGTGTCCTCTCCACTTTGGCCGAGACAGCGCTCCTTCTGAGGGGGCTGTGGGCGGGCAGTACATCCCAAACTGTACGGCTAGGGCGATTACACGTAACTCGACAACATCACCAGAAGACCGCGCGCTGAAGACGACGCCGTGAGTTGGAACCGCTGATCGACAAGGAGTGGGCTAGGGGGTATTCGTGATTGGGGCCGAATTGTCGCGAGGCCGGACCTGTACTAGAACGTCACATGTAGGGGTGAGCGAATCTGTAATTTGCAATTGGCTGTAGCCGTTTGACCGTCATTGGTAATGAATATTTGTTGATAATTTGCGCTAAGGCCGCTATCTGGCCAGGAATCTTCTTACACTCTGTTAAACTAATCGAGGATTAAATATTTAACTCGTTGTTCTATAAACCGGCCCCTAATCTTTAGTCTTTTATTCTGCTTCAGAAAGTGTCAAAAAAATCTGGTTGTTCCGTTAAAAAAAAGTAGGCAGCTGTGTCTGTCAAATCGAGAACGATAAAAAAAAGCAAATTTCACAAAAAAAAACCTTTCAAACAACAAAGTTATTCGACCGTTCCGGACCTTATACTAACCCTGTACAAATAAAACAAATGAGTTAATTAATAAGCATAGATCATTATTTACCCTCCGTCCTGATATTTTAAACCTCTCCCTAAGTTTATTCGTTTCTAAACGTCACCGTTGAAACACCCTTCAAAGTTAAACGCTTCTAAATAAAAAAACAAAAAATAGGTAAGCAAATTTAAAGTCTACTAATTATAAAATTAATCGCTCGCCAAAATGTCTAAGTCGCACTTACACAGTTGCAAGTTTGCCAAGAAAATAATAAACCAGACCGTGTCTTGGACGGTCATTTAGTATTGTTACGAATTAGGTTCTGACCACCTCTTCAACACACTTCTCATGTTGAAACGTGTTCCTCTTCCAACCTCATCCGCCTAATTTACGACTTCCCGAACAAGTGTGTGAATGAAACAAACTTTCATGCGCAAGTATATCAAATAAATTATACAATCTTCCGTATTTTGAGACACGTGCCACCTGTTCTCCATCAGCAAGAATAGTTTATAGATCCTACTGTCTAAATCATTTCGGTCATGGTTCTACTACACTTCTTGAAATAATGGGCATGCTATTAAATAATAAAATAAATTCCGACGGTTAGATCTAATTTTCCATCCTTCTTCAAAACTAGGCGGTGCGTATTAACGACAAAGAAGGATTTTATGATTTTTAAGAATGGAAGGTCTGTTTTACAGTCGCCGCAGGATAATTTGAACAGTCATAAAATTATAAAGCTACCGTAAATTTGATCACCATTCAAGCTTATCAGATAAAATCACTTTATTTAGTACTTTTTGTTCCTTGCACCTCAGGGTTTGTGAGGGGGACCTTAAACATTGATATACTTTGCATACGCTATGTTGAACACAAAACGAATGGGTTTTTTACGTCTTATGACTGCTTAAGTTAAGCC